ATATGCACAGTCGCTCACTAGCACCAGAGCACTTATATCAACGAGCATAGTCACTTCGACTTTGGCCATTTTGGAATTGAACTACTAGCGCCGCCTATTGGTTGTGGTCGTAATTTGGATATGGCGTCTGTGTTTACTAGCAACGCTGCAAGAGCTTCTCGTTTGATTAGTAAAATAATCACGAGCCGCAACTGAAATTTGTTTCGCAGGGAGGCAATCTAATTAAAGAGAAAGTATAACTTTGTTATAGGTAGACTAACGACTATTAGTAGTAATTATGAAGCGAGCGTAGGTGGCTTTACAAGTTTGTTTACATACCGGGCGGTACGTATCAATCATCTATGATCTTGCAGTCATATAGCCTAGTATAGGCTCTAGTCTTATCGGGTTATTTACATTACTATCATAGTGGCGGGAAGTTGGACTTGCAGTTGTAGTATACGGCAGTTGCTTGTAGACATGTAGTGTATGCTAGCAGTAGCACGGTTTGCAATCACGTATATCATGCTTCCGAGTATAGTTTTCAACTAGCTCTAGTAGTAGTACTATAGCCTTAGTATAGCCCGCTATGTAAGCGGGCTATAGTACTAGAGCTAGTTTTCAACATACTTTATCTAACTATGGTACCACTGGCACTGTGCACTGATATTTTGTTTAAATTGTTTTACCCATACATTGCGCTCAGCGAATTCATTTATTGAGCTCCGCTGCGGTACTGTGTGGAAAATACCATCACTTCATCAGTAACCCTGTGTTACCCTTACTATGCACAGATGAAGGACACCAACGTATTACCCATGCCGACATATTACATGTGAAGCCATGTCTATGGTGAGAAGTCCGGCCATCATGGCACCGTACAAGAGAAAGCATAGCGGTGCCTACTGTTCGTCCTTTAATTGTAAGAATAGATGGTCGGGAACAAACAATGTTGCCTTTCATCGTTTTCCGAAGGATCCTGAAAGGTATGATAATAACTACGGTACACAGTTCCACAAAACCATTTGAGAGGTAGTTCATGTTCTATGCCTAGGCTATAGCATGTAGTAAAGTACAGTGCTAACACACAGTCACAGTGTAGCAATGTTATCAAGAGCTAATAATACTTTATAAGCTCTTGATGTTATGCATATCATCACTCTCCCCCTGTATACTCTGTGTCACAGTGTGGATCATGTTTTCAGTCATATATCCTTCAGTAGTCCATTGCTGTAGTTTGTTTTCCGTCTCTTCTCTTGTCCACGTTGATCTGCAAATTCTTCCAGACTGTGTTGTTGCAATAGTTTGATTCATGTAGTGCATCCTAGCACTGTTTGCAATCACATATATGCTTCCGAGGTGAGTATAGTTTTCAATATACTTTATCTAACTTTATCTACCACATACTGTGTGCTGATATTTTGTTACCTCCGCCAAACGGAGTTGGAGGAGGTTATGTTTTCGCTCTCGTGTGCAGACGTCCCAAGTCTCCCGGTCTCACCGGGAGACTCCCGGTATGACACGCTGCTCCCGGTGCCCCGGAATGAGGTCAGAAGCTCCCGGTCGTAACATTTTTCAGCCATATGAAAATTTACATCAGTAAATCAGTAAATTACTAAATTTGCCGTTGTTGTTGATGTACTTTGATTCCAATTTCCAGCGAACAATAAAAGGCGATAAAACGATGATTTTACGTGTATACTTTATAAAAAATGGTGGTGTGCCGCGACAAACACATATCGCAGCCCGCCACAACTTTTTTCCTATTTTTGCTCACTGCGAAAAAACGGCGATGGAAATGGCTCCCTTTCTTGGATTGCTGGGCCAATGCTGGCTCCCTTTCTTGGATTGCTGGCTCCCTTTCTTGGACTTTCCCAACTTGGGACCTCTGCGTGTGTTCGTGTGTTTGTGTGTTCTCGCGATCGATATTAGCGCGTAGGCCAGCGAGCCAGCCAGCGAGTGTGTACATGTGAGCGAGCAGCAGCAACGAGCGGCTGTGCGGAACTGTGTGGAAAATACACTGCGCTACCCTTACTACCACAGATAAAGGATCTTAGACAAATGTATAGTGTTGTCAATCGGTTGTAATTTCGTAATCGATTATCGGATGGACCCAAGTAACCGATGATCGGTTACAATCGGTTACTTGGGGTGTTGAATGCCTGCGTGTGCGTAACGTCGTGTGCATGTACGTGTGTGCATGTATGTGCTTGTTTAGCCCTGTTTAGTGTTTGTTTTGCACTGTTTACTACTGTGTGTATAATACATGTATGTTAATAAATCTCTGATTCTCATCACTTTTCCAAGTTTTCTTGTTCAAGTTTTACATTTATTTATTTTTATTTTTTTCTCTTTTTTTGATGAAATCGATTATGGATTTTGATAACCAAGCGCTTGGTTCGAGCCACTGTTCAACCGATGATCGAGTATAATCGATGATCGTGACATCACTAAGCGCTTGGTTCGAGCCACTGTTCAACCGATGATCGAGTATAATCGATGATCGTGACATCACTACAAATGTATACACATAATTTCACATTCATCAGTTATTGTGACTCTTTGAGTGAGTTATTGATCAACAATGACAGATACAGGGGGCAGGAGGCACAACGCACCCTATTATTATTTATTATTTTCATATAAAAAATTACACATATAATTATCAAGAGTATATAATGGGAGTTCTCTTAATTTCTATAATGTACGTCGATGGTTGCTCAATTAAAACTGACTTCTTCTCACTCATTTGTGTTCTTTTTTGTGGTGAGCTACAGTGTCATTGACACTTTCATTTTTAGCTCATCTGACATAGTCAGATGCAGCTTGTAGAATTGCATGAGCGTGCGTCCGTCCGTCTGTGCGTCCGTCTGTCCGTCCGTGCATCCGTCAACAGTTGTGCACAAATCTAAACGGCTCGACGTACGGATTCGAAAGTCGGGTCGTGGGGGGGTAATCCGAAAACGAGTTGGGATGTCGAAGCTGGGGGTCAAAGGTCAAAGGTCAAGAGGTGTAAAAGAAGGGGGAACATCCACTCCTTAACCAAAGGTATAGTGAGGAAATGCAGAATTGCGGCACAAATCTAAACGGCTCGACCTAGGCTCGTGATAGTCGGTGTATAGCATCATGGTAGGAAAAACCATCACTGTGCCAAAATTGGAGGTCGCAGGTCAAATGTCAATGGGGCACAGGGCAGATTTTATACATTTTCTGAGGACATGGTCTGACGGAGCGATTGAAAAACTGAAGGACCATGAAATGTGCTTTCCACTGACGTGTGAAGAGTAAGTGTCTGATAGTCTTTTGATCCTCAAGAGCAGGGTTAAACATGGATTTGTTGACTGTTAACAAAGGAGTGAACTGCTTTTGCTATTAGAGCCCCTTCCCCCACCCCTCCCCCTCCCCCTTCCCCCCCCCCTCCCCCCGCCCCTTCCCCCACCCCTCCCCCGCCCCTTCCCCCACCCCTCCCCCTGGCCCCTTCCCCCAACCCTCCCCCCACCCTCCATCTGCGATAGTGGGCGTGTCCTAACAATGATGTGTACGCAACTGCGTGTCTGCATATCTGCGCCTAACAAATGTGGTACTACGCACGACTGAAATTTTACGTTTATAATCGTAGCAACAGACCTCAGATGAGCCCAGACGCTCTGCGGCTCTTGTTATCAAAGCTAGACTCGGAATCAGACTCGGGTGGTGTGGACTCAGACTCTGACTCAGGTGGTGCAGACTCGGCCATGGCCTCTGAGGCTATGGACTGGGACTCGGTCTTGGCCTCAGAGGCTGTGGACTAAACACTGGTACTAAATTAATGCATGTTGCAGAAACAAAACGTGGCTGGTGAAGATCAAAAGGAAAGACTTGGATAAAACTTAGTCGAGTACAGAAGAAAGAACCTGTTTGTGTGCAGTGACCACTTTACCATTCAATCTTTCATAAATGCTGGAAAACAAGATTGACATGTAATGCTGTGCCAACATTTTTCAACTTTGGGCATCTTCCACTCCAAGTGAAATCCTATGAAAGGAAACCACCAAAACATAAAGCAGTGACTGAAACGCAATGCAGCAGCAGCAGCAGCATAGGCAAGGAGGATATCATAACAACAGCTCTTGCTCACACATACAACTTGTTGCCAGAACGAGATGCCACATCGATGGAGACGAGTCAAGATGATTTACAGAATTGTTTGGTGTCTGTAAGTGTATCTTTGAAATAAATGCATTTGTTATGGAATCATTTATGACACCAGTGATTATTGTCAGTAGCAGAATGTGTTTTCTAGTTTTCGGTATAGTTAATAATAATGAATTGATGACAAAATATTATTATTATCTATATGAGTGTTATTTTTGTTATCACCACCATTATTGTCATCATGTCTTTTGCAGGAACTAGTTCCCCTACAAGGATCTGCTGCTAGAAGGAAACCAGCAGCTCTATCCCCTATGTTAAACTCACCAGAGAGCATTGTTGATGCAGCAAGAGCTTTCGGTTTGGGTGAGATGGGCTGTAATTTTTTTCTTGGGCAACTAAAGAATTGCTACCGGTCAAACAAAGGTTTGTTAATTTAAATTATTCATAGTTATTTTTTTTAAATTCGTGTAAGCTTACAGATTCAGTGAAAACGTTACCTTTTCAAACACATACTGGTTACAATATAATATTAATATCCAGAAACGAAACAAAAATTGTAAACTATATGTTCTGTGTACAACTAGTTATTTTCAACATTGTAAGTTGTATAACATTTGAAAATCTAAAAAAGGCATGTGATACAGCAAGTATATTAGCAGAGTAGCAGAGTAATTAAATAAATAAATAATAATATATATTATATGTAGTCATTTTAAGTTTTGTGCATTAATCTAGGGCAACGATGGACGGATCATGACAAAGCCATTGCTCTTGGAGTGTACTTTAGGAGTACACAGTCATATCGCGTTCTTGAGGGTTTGTTTAGTATGCCATCAGCCAGTACCTTGCATCGCTTTGTTCGAGGTATACCATCATCAACAGGGCTCTCGGACAACATTTTCAACCTACTGGATGTGAAGAGCAAGGCTATGGATGATTGTGCAAGGCGCTGTGTTATTCTGTTTGACGAGATGAGTTTGCGACAAGAACTTTTTTATGACAGAGCACGCGACACAGTTGATGGTTTAGTTGAACTGCCAGACAAACAACCCGATCCGTATAATGTCGCTCTCGTGTTCATGGTAAGAGGCATTGCAGTGAACTGGAAGCAGACTCTGGGTTTCTTCTTCGCTAGAAATGCTGCTGGAGCTAATGATATTGAGAACCTGTTAAGAAGTGTTGTGGTGAAACTTCACGCAATAAATCTGCATCCTGTGGCTATCGTTTGTGACCAAGCATCGACAAACCGTTCACTCTACAAGCGTCTGGGGATTACGGTGCAAAAACCGTATTTTCAGGTAGATACATGTGCATTATTATCGTATTATTATTATCATGTAGACTATATATGATACTACTTTACATATATAATATGGTGCCCTACATGTATAATGTTTAATGTATAAAATCCTTTTGAAAAAGAATGTAATGTAAATCTTTCTAATAACCCATAAACACGTGTATACTTTTTAGTGTAATGGGGCCAAGATATATGGTTTGTATGATCCTCCGCATATACTGAAAAACATCAGAAACAACTTGAAGAAACATGATGTTATCTTTGGGGATGACAAGGTTCTCATAATAGCAAACATAGAGAAAAATTATGAATTTGTTGTTATTTCCGTTTTTTGTGTGACTAACTTGTTATTATTTTCATTTGTTGCCTTGTGCTGCCATATTAATAGTAACTGGCAAAGACTACTGAAACCAGTTATCTTGCTTGAAGTTGAGGTATAATATATAGAATTACTACATGGTGACTTAATTTTAGCATGAGCTTATATTAGAGAATTTTATATTCTAATTCAGTATTAATACAGTTATTGTTACAATGTTTCGTTTCCATTAT